TGACTTTCTTTTGAATAGTTCTAACCTTTTTTTCCCCAAATATAAAACATGCAGTATTCATTTCTATTAGTCTTTCTATTTGTTTTCAACTTAGTAATATAAATCAAAAGAACCTGCAGCTGTATCAAAGAAGTTTTTCCAAGCAAAATTAATTGGTGAAATAGATTGTATCCAAAAGAAAGTCAACAACAATACAAGAGCACATTATAAGGATCAATGTAGCATTTGAGATCCATATTTTCACCAATTACACAAACCCATCATTTCATTTCCCCTTTTGTTTGTGAATTGTGAGTCACCCTCCCACCAAAGAGATGAAGCTTGCAGTATTGACGCTGCTTTGATCATTTTGACGAAAGCAGGGAATTTCTGTTGATGCCCATGCTTTAACAAGGAAAGGTTTGTAACTCTGAAAAACCACAATTTCATTTGTCTACATAATCCTCCTATAATTTTAAATTGCACATAAAAACATTAATCATGCAGTACAAATAAGAATATGGGCAATATTTCTATTAGATAGTTCTAGATCATAAAATCATTTACTTTTTCTCCACGCTTTGCTCGTCCTGGGGAAAACCCTGGATCACCTTTAGGACCCTGGGATAACAAAATTAAATTAATATATGAGACACCGGTATTATTTCTAAAATCACTTAGAAGAGAATATGTTATTTAGGAGAAAACTATATAGATTCAATGAAAAATAAAAATTAACACTTTAATCAAGCAAATAATTTCCATTACATAATGGAGGTATTATTTTAACATGCAATTTGCAACTTTAGTTCTTCTATGAGTTTGTATAGATGGCTTAGATCTAGAAAGAGAAAAACACAGTTTCAGGATTCTTGTAGCTATATTTTAGAAATATTTAATACTTCTCTGGTAGTTTAAAGTATATAATCCAAAAAGGACAAATTAAATTACCACCATCTTACTCCAATAAAAGGACTATTCTATTCTTCAATCTCCTCAATCTTCAAACCATAAAGCTGCATATAAAAATATCCCCAATAATTCATAATATTTTCCTTTCTTATGTTCCTTTACCTTCCTCTTATTCTAATATCTGTTTTCTCCTCTTTTCCTTAAATGTTCTCCTAGTTTTCTTTTCTGCATTTACTCAGCTTTAGCATAGTTTAAGCCAAGTTAGCAAACCTCTGTGGCAATGGCAAAGTAATTCATTCATTCATTTCATTCATTTATTAAATTTATAGACCGCCCAATCCCGGAGGACTCCGGGTGGCAAAGTAATTACCATTCTGCCTCCCAAAGTAAAATGGGAAAGTTTCAAAATTTTCTCACCCAACCTCAAGTGAGAAAGCTTAAAACCCCACATTTTACTTGACTTCAAGGTTCTTTTTTTGAGAGCTTCCCAAAATCTCACAGATGTTAAATTCTCATAGGTGTTAGCATACTGTTTTAAAATAATTTTTATTTAGTTTGAGAGGTAGGCAAATGGTATATATGTTTAATTAATTCTGGCATGTTTGGGTATGATTCCTGTCTTAAGCCTATTTGGAAACCATGTTCTTTCTGAAACGCTTGTCCTGATTTGTTAGGGTTGTTAACTGATTTTCCTATTTTGGGACTATCCACTCAAGGGACCTGAATCACTTTTGGTTCAAGTAGTGTCACTCTATGTGTGCAAGCACACCAACAAAGGCCAGGGGTACAGAGGGTCTAAGAGGCATCATGTACACTATATCATGATGACTTTGTACAAATGATAGCAATTATGTATTTGAGTCATCTTGAGTAGCAAAATGGAACAAGTACATGATTTGTATAATGGCTTCCTGCAACATCAACTTCTACAGGATTCTTACATACAAATGTATTATTTAAACCCAAAGAGGCAGTTTGTAAAATCTGGAAAAGGATCTAGCTATATTAATAAAGTATCTTTGNGGATAGAACTTATATTTGGCACACATGCAGAAAACATGCTAGGGCTTATTTTTTGGATAGATCTTATTTTCAGGGAAACACGATATTTGCCCTTTGGTTGTTAAAAAAACAGACAGGTCATTAACTAAAAAATCATCAACATTACTCATGTGTAGCATACCTTTGGACCAGGCAAACCTGGCAGCCCAGGATTTCCATGTGGGCCTGGAATACCCTATGGAAAATATAAAATACATAGTAATTACAAAGAACAGTAAGGATGGGTCTTCATTTGTGCAAGGACATTTGTTAGGGATTATTAAGCTATTTATGTTGAGTGTCATGAACACTGCTCTAAATAAATTATTCAGAAATCATTACAACTAAACCTGGTCCAAAACCAGGTTTAGCCCCCCAAAATAAGGGTATGTATTAGAAACAGGTTCCAGAGAGGCTTCTTCCTGTCAGTCTCAGTTGCTGTCATTAATTGAATCCCACCAAGTCGCTAGGTAAGGATCGACCCCAATCCAAGCCATTCCTAGCTTGGTCCTTCCCAACCCCAAACCTCGGTGAGATAAGGGACTACCTCCCCTTCAACTCTCCTACTCACCTATCTCCTCCCCATCACTGTCCTTTTGGCCACTCTATGGTTCAATCCCTCCGCCACAGCTCAAATAATCTTCACTTTCTTCACTTTCCTAGTACTGACTAGGTGCACCTGCCTCGGCCCTTGCAAGCTAGCTTCTGGTCACTCCACGTCTTCTTTTCAAGGCTGTGTGCAGCCTTGTCCAAATTAGGATGCAGCATTCTCACAAAGCTTTGGAAGGCTTGATAGTCTTGCAAGGAAGCCATACATTATTTGAGCAAGGGCATGTACGATTTGGACAGAGGCACATGCATGTCTACCATCTATTTATTGCTGCAGTAACTCTGAATAGTAATGGAATGAATGGTTATTAACAGAAGAGTAGCTGTAGTTCTAGTTTTTCTGTTTTGAGTCTGTTATTGATTTGGATAACTTTTCAGGGCTGACAATTTCACACTAATTATGGGATCTTCTTCTCTTCGCCCTACAAACTGAAGGCTGTACCAATCAATATAGAGTCATTTAGCATTTCAAATACTCATTTAAAGGTATTTCTGTGCTGCGGCAATCAAATTGTGTCTTTGTAACACATAGAAAAAATCCATACAAAGCATATCTGGGGAAAAAATTAAAAAAACAATACAAAGAAAATCGAGTAAACAACTTCAATTCAATGAAAATAATGTCTTCATTAACACAATAAATGGAACATATGAGTAATCAAGTAGCAAGGCTACAAAGAAGCAAACAGTAAAATCCCA